GAGGTGTTGGAAAGCGACGATCCCGGGGGCGGGGCATTTGCCCTCTTTCTTCGTCCCCACCCCGGGGATATTTAGACAGCTTATGTTTTCCCACCCCGGGGAATTTGCCCATTTTTAAAAAAAAAAATGCTAATGCCCGGGGGTTAGCCCCGGGGGGGGGGGGTTGGGCACTGCTGGAATTGACTGATGCATAATGATTTTCCTTTCTTTTTCTGGGAACCCTGTCACAGCACAAGTGGCAGACTTATCAGTATCAAGAGAACCCAATCTAAGCAGCACGTGCCAAGACACTCCCATGCCAACTGGTAAGTTTGTCATAATTTTTTGTTACAAGTATGCCAATTGAGTGGCGCACATGCGTGAGTCAAAGTGCAGCAAAGTTCACATGGTATTTCATGTTCTTGAACTAAGGGTCTGGGATCAAGGACCAAACAGCTTATACTGCATGCTCTTCAAGTTGACAGCAACTGAGCGTCGTTTATGTGTTCGTGCATTGATTTATATCCTTCCACATACATGTAACACTCACATTCCACGCAGTTTTCTGCATGTTCATGACGTTACTTCGTGGACCGTTGAGGAGATTTTGTTTTGATGAAACTCATGTTGCAGAAATCTATGTGAGACTCGTAACTAACTTTCTAAAATATTTGCGTGACTTACTCTTGGGTTTACCGGCTTTATAAACTGTGGAAGGTGAATTTGTGTTTTCTGACACTGTCATTTGTTTTCCAGTGTATCCAGAAAAACTTGTGGAGCTCATCAAACGGGACTACAAAGGTGCTATTGTGTGTCCATTTCCATGGTGTGAGGATGAGCTACAACTGGAACTGTCGAACATCTTCACAAGATTGACGATGACCAGTAAGAAAAAGGAAAGAGCAAAGATAACAGGTAAAGAAGTCAAAATGACAGACGTGTTTATACCACACGAGGAATGCTACAAGCCAAGAGTGGTGCTGATTGAGGGGCAGCCTGGAATGGGTAAAACCACTTACTGTCAGAAGCTTGCTTACGACTGGTCTGTGGGGGGAATTCCACCTGAAGCTTCGTTTCCTGATGTGGAGATACTTCTTCTTCTGAAGTGCCGTGAAATGAAGATGACGAATGCTAACATCGAGGAAGCAATTGATGACCAACTACTTCCACAAGATGCAGACAAGAAGGAGAAGGAAAACTTCTTCAAATTTATTCGCCGTAATCAATCTAAAATATTATTGGTTCTTGATGGATTGGATGAATTGCATCATGCTCTGTTGCAGAGTTTCCTTCCCTTGATTAAAGGCAAAGTTTTTTCCAATACCTATCTGATGTTGACAGCTCGACACGAGGCAGGAATGGGGGTACGGCGATACTGTGACACACTTCTTGACATTGTTGGCTACACCAATCAAGATGCTGACAGTTACATTACAAAGTATTTCAGCAATCATGAGGATCCGAGCCTTGGTAATGCTTTGATCGAAAAATTAAAGCATGAAAGTCAGCTGAGGGAATTGACTGCTAATCCATTGAACACAGCTCTGCTATGTCTTGTTTGTGAAGATACAAAAGGAGCCTTTCCTTCCAACAAAACGAAATTGTATTGCGATCTTGTGTCATGTGCTTTGAGGAGAGATTTCGCAAAGAAGAACAAGAGTGTTCCTTCGGATCCCATTGAGACGTGTGCAGATCAGTTGAATCAGTTGGGAAAGATGGCACTTGAAGCCCTTAAAGACGATCGAATGCACTTCAGTGAAGATGAGATGAAATGCCACTCTTTTAATTTCCTGAAATGTTTTCTTTCTCGAGAAGCTAGCGTAAGCAAAATCAAGCCAACGCCTTGTTATGCATTTACGCACAAGACCTTTCAGGAATTTTTTGCAGCGTTCCACTTGGAACATGAGTTGTTTTCTTGTGACCAAGCTAGAAGAGATGTCTTACTAGCTCAGCTTAGTCCTGTTGACAAATATTGGCAGGTGTGGGAATTTCTCTTCACAATGGTAGCAAGTAAGAGTCACGGGGACGCAATTTATCTCTTGTCGCGTCTTTGTGCGTGCTTATACCACAAGAAACCTGAGAAATTGATTGAAACTGAAGCTATCGCTAACTTAGATGCTGGCATTTGTGACGATCCTTCTTACGACTGGACAACTGACGAACGTGCGAGAAGATTGAGTACCGAAGAGGCAGTGTTGCAGGATATTGTGGTTAAGACACTTAATCTTATCGCTGAGTGCGAAGAAGGTGAGAATCATGATGAACTAAAGGATTACCAGAAGAAAATGGTGCTTACACTGGCACGTTGCTTTCCAGTGCGAAAATTTGAACTGAACTTGAACTGTCCAACTTTACGTGATTCCCTTGTTATCTCTGAATACTTAAAAGCCAACTGTACACTGGAACACTTATATCTTGTTGGCAAGTTTGACTGGCCGGCATTATCAATAATTAAGACTGTACTTCACTCTGATCACAAGCTGCTGCATTTATGTTTGGCTGATTCAGTTAACTTGTTAACGTCTCGTGTCGACCCTCAGTGGTTATATAGAGTTTTTCCAGATCTTATCAGGATCAAGGTTTCTGAAGCTAAAGCACTGGCACGACTTCTCCTTTCAAATCGCACTTTGACACATTTAAACCTACGTAATGATGGGGTCTGTAATCATGGAGCGGAAGCAATCGGGGTCGTTCTTCAGCTGAATCGCACTTTAACTCATTTGTATTCAAATTCTGGGTGGATCCAGGAACAAGGAGCCAAAGCTCTTGCGGAGGCTATTTCGTCAAATTTTACTTTGACACATTTGAGTCTGCCTGACAATTGGATAAATGATCTTGGAGCAGAAGCCTTTGCGAGAGCTCTTCGGTTTAATTGTACACTAAAGTTTTTGGATCTAAGTGTAAACTGTATCGGCAATCGAGGAGTCGTAGCGCTTGCTAAATGTCTGGAGTCGAACGTTAGCCTGGCGTATTTGGATTTACATTGCCAACACGGCAGGTGTATTCATGCTGTTCTGCCGGAACTGATTGGTGAATCAGGAGCATCAGCACTCGCAAGAGCTCTTCGAACTAATTGTACGTTGATGTATTTAGATCTTCAGGATAATGCGATCGGTGAATCAGGAGCAGCAGCTCTTGGAGAAGCTCTCCAATCAAACCACCGTCTGACTCATTTATACTTAAAAAACACTAACATTGGGAATGAAGGAGCAGAAGGCCTTGCAAAAGCACTACAGGCAGAACGTGCTTTCTCACAGTTCAATCCAGTGCAAGAGAGATATTCCCATGATCCAGGAGTTGTTCAGTTGTACTTTGGACTTGTAAAGGCACTTCATTCAGATGGTACTTTTGGTACTCGCTTGACCCGTTTAGATCTGAGTGAGAGCATGATTAGCTCTTCTGGTGCAATGGCTCTCGCAGATGCTCTCCTGTCTAATCGTACTCTTGAGCGTTTAGATTTAAGTTCTAACAAGATTGAATGTTCAAGTGCAGCAGCCTTTGCAGAGGCACTCCAATCTAATCGAACTTTGACACACTTGGATCTAAGAAGAAACGAAATCGGTGATTTAGGAGCCAAAGAGTTTGCAGAGAATCTTCAGGATAATGATACTTTGAGATTTTTGGACTTAAGGAAAAATCCAATCGGTGAGTTAGGGGTACAGAACCTCACACAAGTTGATCAGTCGATTTGCATGCTGAAGTATAGTGACCCAGCGGAGCGTCACATCACTCATCAAGCTCCATTATTTGGCCAAGGAGTGTCCGTGGAGGCGGGTGTTGGATTGCAATTAATCTGGTTTAATTCGGAATAAATAATAATAAGAACAAATAAATAATAATAAGAACAATGTAAAAATGTACACATACCTGTAGCATCGATTATCAACTTGAAAATCAAGAAAGGAGAGAACGACTTAAAGGATAAGATTCAAAGATGTCGTAGAAATGCAGGATGAAAGAGGTGAGATAACTTGTGAAAACACCAACAGTGTTAGTCATTTATCAGCAAAATGCGGGCGATTCTCCAGCTTAATTCTGACAGGTCTTAGTTAACTCTTACCTCTCAATTGCTTTGTATTATGTGTCTTACCATCGATGTCCATCGCATTAACCGAGCAGTGTAGACCACCATCCGATGATTTGCGAAGAACTTTCGAGTGATACCGATCTCCTTAGAGTTAATGAACATTGCCTATCACTTTCAGCTGATGGCCTTACGGTTGTTAGAAATATTTTCAAAGGAGCTACAAACCTTCTTCGTTAGAACCTTTTTCCATGCATGAACCACTCAATAATTTTCAATTTAGGAACCCTTAAGATGCTTTCCAGCCATTTACCACTTTGATTCCAAAACGTGGCCATTTTATATTGATTGATTGATTTTTTGGGGGGAATATTTTAAACAGGTAGTGTTCAGTTCCTACTTTGTTTTGAGATTTCCTACCATTTATGTAACGATCCAATAAATAACCAATGACTAAACCATAATTTAGTAAAATGGTGTCGGGATTAAAACGAACACGAAATTTCTCGCGGCTAAACGATCTAAAGGCGAGAAAATGTGGGTGATTAAGACCGAGTTTACCAGAGGACCAGGCAGGGGTGATACATGCTATCTCTCTTTTTTGGATGAAACTTTGCCAGATTGAAGGTACTACCCAATAACTCTAAAAGACAAAGTGGGCCGGCCTTGTGATTTTTCCCTTAGGAGTTAGACCACCCCCCCTGGTTTT